GTTCTAATATTGATCTAGGAGTGTTTTTAAAACATTACTATGGCAACAATCCCTATTCAGTGGGGGAAAGGAATGCATAAAGAGTATTTCAGATGCTGCCTTTCCACACTCTGCAGATGTGCCCTGACCTCTCAGCATTATTTTTGCTGAGGACAGTGTTAGGAAAATAAAATTTGTTGAGAGTTACTCACTGACTCTGGGAGATATTATCAATTCAAGTAGTATGTCATAGAAAATAGCATCTCACTGATTTAAGATTTTCTATAAAATGAATACTTTCATCATACTTGAAGTTGATAAAGTTGTCATTTGAAAGCATCAAGAAAAAAAGGCTAATATTTTCAGCCAGTAGCTAGAAATTGCTGCATAGGATGCATTCCTAAGACACATGGCTATAGGGGTTCATGTGGCATTCGCTGAACCAGTCTTTACTGAGCATTGTCTGTGAGAGGGAAGTGCTAGATGTCAATTCCATCAGCAAGTTACCAGAGTTTATTGATGCTTTTTGAACATTTACAACCAGATTTTGCTTTTATCATTGAACAAGTCAAACCTCTGCCAAGAATGATCTTACTCAACATTGTTCTTTTCCCCCCACATAATTTAGGAACATTAACCTACTGTTTATCTCTGTTTCAAAAATCAGGAAACTAGGCTGTTTATACAGCATAAATTACAGTATAAAATGGGAAATTTCCCAAATTTGCTTGATGTTGATAGCCAAGATTTCAGACCATTTAAAATGTGTGTGTGTGTGTGTGTATGTTTGCATATGCACACAAACATATATAACTACATGCATTATCTGGATTCAATTCAGTAAATTACTCAAATGCTGTAGGATTTGTTATTCACGCAAGGTCCTTGGACAGGCAGCACAGACATTGCCCCAGAGCTTGTTAGAAATAGAGTCTCAGGCCTCACCCTAAATCTACCAAGCCAAAGCCCCTCTTTTAAGGAGATCTGCTGGTGATTCATGTGGCCATAAACGTTGAAAAGCATGGCTGTAACAGACTTTAACCAGCAAAGTGAGTTGAGTTTGATCTAAGGAGGGAAAAGTGTTTCAATTATCTATATAATTTTTAAGAAATGATTATTGCCCTAACTGGTTTGGTTCAGTGGATAGAGCTTCAGCCTGCTGACTAAAGGGTCACAAGTTCGATTCCAGTCAAGGGCATGTACCTTGGCTGCGGGCACATCCCCAGTGGGGGGTGTGCAGAAGGCAGCTGATCATTGTTTCTCTCTTATGGATGTTTCTAACTCTCTATCCCTTTCCCTTCCTCTCTGTAAAAAAACAATTAATAATAATAATATGTATATATATTAAAGAACTGATTATTTGGGGGGAGGTGCAGGATGTTGAATTATCTAGATAGGCACATCAGTTCTCAAAATTTTTTTCTGCCAGTGTAGGTACTATAATGACTGTTCAAGGGTAATTATTCAAGTCTCTTAAAATCCTAATAAATTGGGAGATGCATTGCACTATTCACATTCAAAGACAAATTGTTTATTGCATAAACACTGGTAGGAATTGAAAAATTAAAAAGAAAATCCTAAATCTCACCATGTGGCTTTCCAATTTTAATGCCTTGCCAGTATCTGCATATTCACATATGATGCTTACAAAGCTCTATTTGTTCACGAATTCATTTACTCCACGCTAAGGGGTGAGTATGGACAAACTTGTGAAGGTTAAATGGAAAGAATGTGATGTTTGAAGCTTTTGTGTTCATTCTTTTTTTTTTAAAAGTATATTATTGAAATTATTACAGATAACTCTTTTTTTTCCCACCCATTGACACCTCTACCCTACTCCTTTTCCCTCCCAGGCCTTCTCTACACTAGTGTCTGTCCATGGCCTATGCATACATACATATGAGATGATTGGTTAACCTCTTCTAGTCCCACTCTTCCCTCTGAAATACATCAGTCTGTTGCATGCTTCAGTGTCTCTGGATCTTTTTTTGTTCATCAGTTTATTTTGTTCATAGATTCCACATATAAGTGAGATCATGTGAGGATACTTGTCTGACTAGCTTATTTTGCTTATCATAATACTCTCGAGGTCCCTCCATACTGTTTCAAAGGGTAAGAGATCCTTCTGGCAGGTGTGAGATGGTATCTCATTGTCATTTTAATTTACATCTCTCTGCTGATTAGTGACATTGAGCATTTTTTCATGTCTCTTGGCCATTTGTATGACCTTTTTGGAGAAGTGTCTATTCAGGTCTTCTGCCCATTTTTTTAATTGGGTTGTTTGTCTTCTTTTGTTGAGTTTTATGAGTATTTTATATATTTTGGAAATTAACCCCTTATCAGATGTAGCATTGGCAAATGTGTTCTCCCTTTTCATTATGATGCTGGTTTCTTTTGATGTGCAGAAATCATTATTTTTCATATAGTACTATGTTGAAATAACTGTAATAATGATTACTAACAACAATTCCAATTACAATCAAACTTCCTAAAGGCTACATCACATCTCTTTGAATTGATTAAAGGTTATTTAATCATTCTCCAATTACATGGATATTCAGATCCTTTCCACATTTTGCTTTTATAAATAAACTAGTAATGAACATTTTTATGCAGTAACTTTAAATTCATTTCCATAACATAATTTACTAATAATTGGATTACCAAATATATATAATATTTAGTGTTTTGAAAACATATGGATAAGTTGTTTTTTGTTTGGTTGGCTTTTTAAAAAATATTTTTTATTGATTTCAGAGAATACGAGAGAGGGAAAGGGAGATAGAAACATCAATGATGAGAGGGGATCATTAATCAGCTGCCTCCTACATGCTCCCTACGGGAGATCAAGCCTGCAACCTGGGCATGTAACCTGACTGGGAATCTAACCTTAACCTCCTGATTCATAGGCCATTGCTCAACCATTGAGCCAGTTGGACTGGATAAATTGTTTTAGGAAAGGACTATAACAATTTATGGTGAAACCTGCATTGGCAAAATATTCCAGATTTCACCACATCATGCCAGCAATAGAAATAATTATTTCCAAATTTTCTAATTAATCAGTATACAACTCATGATTTTTCACAATGAAGATACTTTCAACTATCATTAAAATTCACCTTTTCTCTCTTGTTTTCTTAGAGCAAAATTAGCCAACAGGTGTTCTCTGGCCTAAGCGTAAATGGGCTGCACATGTGTTGTTCTTCTCCTTCAAATATTGCATTGGCTATTCTGGTTCTCTTACCCTTTACATCTAAACTTTATACTTAGTTTGTTGATATTTACACATGGGATTTGATTGGGATTGTGTTGAATTTATGGATTAAGTTGGAATGAACTGACAACTTGAAAATATCGAGTCCTCTTATCCATGTACATGGAATGTCTCTCCATATGTATATTTAAATGTTCCTTGATTTCTTTCATCAGAATTTTGTAGTTTATCTCACATAGTTATTATACAATAATATCTTGTTAGGTATATATGTAAGTATTTTTGGCCCTAATGTAAATGATTTTTTAAAATTTTAAATTCTAGTATATGAGAAAGCAACTAACTTTTGTATATTCTACAACCTTGCTATAATTGCTTATCAGTTCCAGGATTTTTGTTTGTCTTCTTTACCAATATGTATACTTTGTATTTATGTTTCCTGCCTTATTGCAGTAGCTGTATCTTTTGATACAATGTTGAAGAAAAGTTGTGATAAGACATCCTTGCCTTCTTCTTATTGTTGTAAGAAGGGCCTTTGTGGGCAGCTCCATTAGATGAAAAAAATAAACGGGTGAGAGAGACTGAGGCTGGAACAAGACCAGAAGCTACTAAACATGTGATTGATTGATTGAGAGGATATAGTGTGACTATTTGAAATCACTATGCCTATATACAATATTTCACAGGGCTTCCTATAGTTTCTACCACAAAATTACTCCATTGTGTAACAATATAGTTTTATATGATGGCCAGAGAATGAAGGCACAACAGGCCAGAGAATGAAGGCACAATGTGAATGTACTATTTTATATTCACACCTGCAATATGTAAGTGATCTACTGCCTCCGCATCCTCAAACATTGTCTTTAAAACTTCGTCATTTGATATTGTCATTAAAACTATCTTGGCCATTTTGATAGGTGTGTTACATATTCTAGATAGATTGGGGGAGGATCTTTGAGTTCAGAAATTAGGACAGTTTAGGACTGTCACCTGGGAGTCTGTGTTCAGAATACAAGAGGAGGAACACGTCTATCTTGGAGGAACTAGATGAACAAAACAGGAAAGCAGTTAACTTGGGTGTGGGTAGGACAGTTATGTCATGGGATTGTGGGAGAACCTTGTGCTACAGCAGCCAAGGACTATTAGAGTACAGGTACTTGTTCTTACCATGGACTCAAAAGTAAAAAAAAAGAAGCACATGTAGGATCAAGACAGGAGTAAGGGTGCCAAACAAAAAGAGAGGGGAGAGGTTCTGCTCTTAAGTTTGGTTCCCAAAGCATCAGCCCCCCAAATACAGAATGGAGTACTATCTTGAAAACAGTTGCATCCTCTTTCCCTGAGGCCCCCTCAGAGCTGAAGCGCTGCATAACATCTGGAGACATACATACATATATACATACATACATACATGGATGCGTGAGCTACGTTAACAGACCGTGTTCAAGTCAAAGAAAGAAAGTGCACTCAAATCTATTCTATCCATCAGCCTCACCTGCAGAAATGGATGCAGTGTGAGGCTCCATGCTCAGGAAGGCTGTGACAGTGCATCCTGGTATACACGCAGTTGAATAGTCTGCATCAAGGAACCCGAGGTTAAGTCAATGTAGAGGGGTGTCCGGGAAGAGGGTCTCTGGCTCCTACAGCAGCCAAGGCCAAGAGGAAGGGTGCCTTTAGAAGAAAGGGTGAGCGAGAAGGGATCCTGGGGTGAGTGGGCCTGGCTCCCTAGCGGAGGGGCCGGAGGCGCGGCGCCCGCGGGAGCGCGTGTCCCCAGCGCCGCGCGGGCACCGGCTGTGACGCATGCTGGTTGCCGGGCGCGGCGTGAAGGTTCGGACACCATCCGCTCCTTTCTTCGACGCCTGCCCGCCCGTCTAGCAGAGCGATCGGCTGGGACTGAGCCTTGGGCGGCCGAGGGGCCGAGAGCCATGAGGCCCGGGGGCGGCTGCCCTGCGAGGCTGCTGCTGGCGGGGGGCTGGGCGCTCCTGGCGGCGGGCTGGGTGCTCCTAGCCGGCCTGCAGGCCGCCCGCGGGCTCAACGCCACGGCCTTCCACGACCCCATCCCCGGCCGGGCCCGCTCCCTGGACGAGGAGGAGGTGGAGGAGGAGGAGGAGGGCGGCGATGGCCAGGGCGAGGCCGAGGGCGAGGAGGAGAACTACTCGGTAGGCGAGTCGGAGCACCTGCCCTTGCGGGAGGGCGAAGAGGAGGAGGAAGGTGAGCTGGGGACCCCCTGGGGGGGACCCCGCTGTTGGTCCGAGGACGTGGAGACGGACCCCTGGAAGCATTTGAAGAGCTCCTTGGCCAACAGCCACCAATTGATACATTCCTCACTGGTGTAATGGCCTTGAAGAAATATATGTGAGTTTTCCAAGGCCACAGCAAGCTGAACAAGCCCATACATGGGAGCTGCTGCAGAAATACTGCTAAAAAGATGCTTTGTTTTTTTTTTTAAGTGCTAGGAGTCAGAAATAGCCTTCCACCAAGTGGAATTATTTTGACTCCCTTTGCAGTTATGTTTTTCTTTCCCATTGTAGTTTTTTTGTGTTTTGTTTTGTTTGTTTGTTTTTAGATGCAAATTGCTTGAGGCCTTTGTAAATTTGCACTTCCAGTTGGAACAACAAAAGGGAACTCACAATCCCCCCTTATTGTGACACATCTAGAGAGATCCATAGGCGGGCTAAAGTGCCCAGAAGCTCCATGCCAGCTTCTTGCAGCCTCAACCTTGGCCGCCTCTGCAGCGTGGAGGTGTGTTATTTGCACCTCCCACTTTGCACCACAGAGGAACCGTGTGGCCTCAGTAAACACCTACCAAGGGATCCAACTAGTGGCTTTGTTAGATGATAACGTTTTATCCAAGGGAGAATGAGCTGGTGCTTGGTACATACTAGTAAATTTACCTTATTCTGCTAGCTCATTAAGCAGTAGAGCTTGACACGCTATTATACTTGTCCTGTTGATTAGTAACTCACATGCTGGTAGGTAAAAGGTCAGTGGCAGGTTTGCAGCCATCTGAAGGAAAATGATTCCTTTACCTCGTAAATGACCCAGCTGAGATTTTTTTTTAATATCCTTGGCAGTCTCCCGTCTCCTATACATATAGAATAGATGCTCTATTTATCAGCTTTTCTCGTATTTCCTGATGACAGATAGTGGGCCCTCAGTGACAGAAAGAAATTGACTACCTGAGGTTAATAGTGGGATGAGATTTGTTATTGCCTTGATGACATTACATTACAGAGAGCTCACACACTCACCCTGAGATTGACTCGACTTCATCTCCTTGACTTTGGAAATATGAAGAAGGAAAGGGACTAGAAAAGAGAAAAACGGGTTCTAATGCATAGTAGCCATTGTTTCACTCTAGTTTTAAAAGTAACCGAACTAACAGTTTTAGTATTAAACTGGTCATGGAATGGTTCCGGGTGTAAAAAGCTTAATGGAGTTTAGAGTAAACCTGGGTGACAGAATTATAATGCCTTAGATGCAAATTCAAATGCAGGATAGTTATTTATTCTCTCGATGTCTCCATTTCCTTATCTGTGAACTTCAGGGAGTCCTTCTGGAATTTTATATATACAATTTCATGCATAGCTGCTTTTTCCTGGGGAAAGCAAGAACCCAGAACTTTAAACAATCTGAGGTGTCTGAGATCTGGATATTTCTGAAATTTGGCGAACCCTCAGTGGACCAGTGTAAAAATACTCAACACCATTTGTGATCCACTGGATATTTTATTTTTACTTTTAAGGCATTTTACAGATAATTTCAAATGTAAGAACAAAGAGGCAGTGAAAACAACTTCTTTGAAATTTTAATAAGAATTAAATTTTATTTTAAATTTTTCCCAAAATTTTATTTCATTTTTCCTGGTTTTGAAGATGAGTGGAAAAAGTACTTTTAGTGTAATTAAAAGCTCATTGTTTGTTATGCATGAGTCTGAAATATATTCATCTTATAAATACTAAGTCCAGATTTTAAGTATATCTTGTAACAGATTTTAGTTATCATTCTTCTTATTCTTTTTGCACTTGCTTTATCATACCACAATACTTTTGAAAACTAGGAAGGCACATACTTTGTTGAAGAGAAGACTGCCATATTTTTTCTCCATATTTGCAAAACCATTTTCATCTTTTATTTATAAATAATTACAATTATTGGTCTAATGAATTTATTCATTTCTACATCTATTTTCTTTCAGTCACCTTTGTATTCACACCTGGCATTTGTCTGTTTACTAGCCTTATCAAGTATATTTTTGTGTATAAACTGCTTTATTTATTTTTTCATAGAAATATAGGTTTATTTCTTTTTTTAAATAAATCTTTATTGCTCAGATTATTACAATTGTTTCTCCTTTTCCCCCCCATAGCTCCCTTCCACCTGGTTCCCACCCCACCCTCTGCCCTTACCCCCACCCCCCACCATTGTCCTCATCCATAGGTGTGCGATTTTAATCCAGTCTCTTCCTGCACCCCACACCCCTTTCCCCCAGATAATTATCAATCCACTTTCTTTCTTTGCCCCTGATTCTATTATATTCACCAGTTTATTCTGTTCCTCAGATTTTTAATTCACTTGATTTTTAGATTCTCTCGATATATATGTATTTGTTGATCATAATTTTCATCTTTTTTTCTTCTTCCTCTTCTTAAATAATACCTTTCAGCATTTCATATAATACTGGTTTGGTGGTGATGAACTCCTTTAGCTTTTTCTTATTTGTGAAGCTCTTTATCTGCCCTTCAATTCTGAATGATAACTTTGCTGGATACTGTAATCTTGATTGTAGGTTCTCGCTATTCATCACTTGGAATATTTCTTGCCACTCCCTTCTGGCCTGCATAGGTTCTGTTGAGAAATCAGCTGATAATCGTATGGGTGCTCCCTTATAGATAACCAACTGTTTTTCTTTTGCTGCTTGTAAGATTCTCTTTTTGTCTTTTGCCCTTGGCATTTTAATTATGATATGTCTTGGTGTAGTCCTCTTTGGATTCCTCTTGTTTGGGGTTCTGTATGCTTCCTGTACTTGTAAGTCTATTTCTTTCACCAGGTGGGGGAAGTTTTCTGATATTATTTCTTCAAATATGTTTTCAGTATCTTGCACTCTCTCTTCTTCTGGCATCCCCATAATTCTGATGTTGGTATGCTTGAAGTTGTTCTAGAGGCTCCTTACACTATTTTCAACTTTTTGGATTCTCTTTTCTTCTTGCTTCTACAGAGGAGTGTATTTTGGCTCTTTGAATTCCAAATCTTTGACCTGATTCTTGTGTTCCTCCATTCTGCTGTTGTATTTCTGCATAATATTTTCCATTTCAGTCAGTTTATGTTTAATTTTTACTTGGGTCTCATTAAATTTATCGGTCTTTTCTAGGAAATTCTTGAAAAACCTTATAACCGTGGTTTTGAACTCTATATCCTCTGTCTCTTTCATTTGAGATCTATTTCCTTGTCTCATCATTTTCACTGCTTCCCAGAGTTGGTAGTATGGCTTTGTGTGTTTGGTGTCCTATATGGCCTAGTGGGTCAGCCTCCTCAGTTACCTGAGGTGGACACTCTTGGTGCTTCCCTTTGTGGACTGTGTATACAGCCTTGTTGTAGTTAAGTCTTTATTGTTGTTGGTATCCCTGGGAGAAATTGATCTTTAGGCCAATTGGATGTGAGTATCAGCTGTGTCTACTCTGGGATACCTTCTGTAATGGAGACAGTCTTATAGGATCAGACTTGAAAAATTGCAAAAGCCTCTGTGCTCGGCTTGGATGGGGCAGAGTCTCAGGGCTGAGCTGACAGTTTTGGCTTCCCGTCAGCCCTGCCCTTGTGCGCTCGCCTGAGTTTCCACCTGACCTCTGCCTTCCGCGGCTTCCTGAGTTTCTGCCTGACCGTCCCAGATTCCCCGTGCAAGAGCGTGGGTGTCCCAGGGGCTCGCCCATAATTGGGTTGGGTCTCTGTAGTCTGGAGCTTCTGACTCCTTCCGTTATCGAGAGGCCGTGGCAACCTCTGTGGTCAGACCTCTGCACCTACTGTACTCACTCGTGCGTGACTGTAGACCCTGCCCGCTGTGGCTCCCAGCTCCTCCAGTCTCCCAGTCTCTGAGTCTCTGCGTGCCTTTCTCTACAGTCCAGACTTCACCCTATGAGCCTGGGTCCACGGGGTTTTGGCTTGGATTGGAGTTCAGTATGGTCAGAAAGGGTTCAGTGCAATCGGGGACTTCCTTTCCTCTCCCGTTAGCCAGGCATTCAGCTGCCCTTCCTCTCTGTGCACGTGTCACCCTACTTCAGTGCTTTGCGGCTCCCAGTCTGATCCATGAGCCTCTCTCCTTCTTTCTAGTTGTAGATTTCCCACTCTACCAGCTTTCCTGTGTTTTTGGATGGTGTCCGTTCTGATTTAATTGTTGTTTTGAAATTGTTGTGCAAAGTGGCAGCTTAGGTGCTTACCTAAGCCGCCATCTTGGTTCTCTCTCCTATAATCTGCTTTAAAAAGGAAATAATACTGTCTGTTTGTATCCTTTTATCAAAATAGTATAGACTGACTTCATTTTCATAAACTATTTCAGGATCAGTCCTTGCTTTTGAAGGACCAATTAGAAGAGAATGCCATATATCCTTTTCATTCTTAGAAAGATAATATTCATTCATTGAGTCTTGAGCTAGAGATAATTTATCTAGGATATTCATCTAAGGTATCACCTCTCATTTTGCTTATATAATGAATTTTAACATCATCATTAGCATCCCAAATGCTGCTATCTGTTTCTCTATGTTCTTCTTTTGATTCATCCAATAACTGTGAAATGCTTTTCACTGTAAACTTTCTTTTCCTTGCCATTATGGACCAAAAAAGAAATAAACTCTAAAATCTCAATTGTGTTCAATGAAAGCTGAAAATAGAGGATGTATAGAGAAAGATGTATCTAAACTTCTTTTATATCTTCCTGAAAGGTGATGTGATACTTTGGACAAAGCAATAATAAAACAAAGTATGATGTAATACCTATAATTTATTTCACAATTATGTCATCTTTCTAGGCCATTCTAACTATTCTTCCATTTTATTATTATAGTCTTATTTAAAAATAGGAGTAATTGATTTGTAATACTAAAATCCATCATTATGGATGACGAAATAACAAAATATTTCAAAATAGGAAAAATCACTAAGATACTATGTTTTATGTACTCTTAATCCTTTTGTACCCCATATCTCTATGCCTTTTATACCTTTTATATACCTTTATACCCTTTATTAATCTAAGATTTATAAATTTACTCTTAACCTATTTACATTTAGATTTATAAAAGGGACCAACAATAGGCCTACTTAATAATTTCAAGAGAAAAAAGTTTTATTCTATAAAATAAAGTTTATTCTATATAAATATAACTACACAGTATTTTCTCTTTTTCTTTGGAAGACCTGTAAGAAAGAAAGAAAAAAAAAATGAACGATCTACCATATGAATCAATTTTCAAAAAAAGAAACTCAAAAATAAAAATTGTACTGTGGTGTAATATGCCAACAGTTAAAGTATCCTATCCAAAATTAAACAGAACATTCCAGGATCTGGCCAGAACAGAAAAAAACAGAAGAATTATTATCTGCATCATTGTGGATGCCAAGCTTTTATCAGCACAGTCTAGGTCTCAGTAGATATTTAGGGAAGCCTCATTACACTTTTGACTCCTATTAAATTCACTACTTTTTTATTTGTCATTTTAATAATTTGTGTGTGTAAGAAAAGCCTGCTTATAATACTTCCTATTAAAAGATAAAGTATTTCTATTTTCTTAAATTTTAAACTCACTATTGAACTCTCCTTTTCATCTGTTCTTTTAGAGACAGCCAATAAAGTATTTTGAGGACAGCTGACTTTTCAGCTTACACACAGGACTTTCAGCTTACACACAGCATGAAATCAGTATTATCCAAGACATTAATGAAAATGTTGAACAGTACAGAGTCCTGTGACACATGACTCTCACCACATTGACACCAATCAATTAATTAGCATCAGTAGATCTTACTGGTGAAGTTACACATAAAACTTTACTGACATGCAGACCATATTCTTCCTTTTTACTCATATATAATGGGAAAATTTGACAAATACTGCACTGAAGTCCAGATACATATAACTGCCCCGACTCATCATTATAAGACCCCCATCAAAAAAAAAAAAAAAAAAAGTCAGTAAATGACCTAATGGGCACTTAATAATCAAAGCTGAAAGGACCTTTGGAGATAACATGATTAAACTTTGACTTTTTTTGAAATTTTTTTTTTTTTTTTTTTTTTTTTAAATTTCAGAGAGGTAAGGAGAGGGAGAGATAAATGGAAACATCAGTGATGAGAGGGAATTATTGATTGACTGCCTCCCGCAGGTCCTACACTGGGGATCGAGCTGCAGTTTGGCAGCATGTGCCCTGACTGGGAATTAAACTGCAACGTCCTAGTTCATAGTTGGATGCTCAACCCCTGAGCAGCGCTGGCCAGGCTCAACTTTCTTTAAGTTAAGAGAACTTAATTTTCCCAATGTAGCAGAGGTACTGAATAATAGAGCTGATTAAGTATTTGGTTTATTGAATGGCTTTTGAAAAGAGGTTATATATTTAAAAACAATTTTTTTTTAAATTGATTTCAGAGAGGAAGGGAAAGGAAGAGATAGGAGCATCAATGATGAGAGAGAATCACTGATTGGCTGCCTCCTGCACAGCCCCTACCAGGGATCGAGCCAGCAACCTGGGCAGGTGCCCTGATCTAGAATCAAACCATGACCTCCTGGTTCATAGGTCAATGCTCAACCACTAACCAACACCAGCCAGGCAAAAAGGTTATATTTTAAAAAAGTAGTCTAGTACTCATTCTCCTACCTGTGTTTCCTGTGTTCAAGATTTGGCTTTTAATTTGTACCCCGTAATGTGCCAGCTGAAAGTATGATCATGACAGTCCAAATAATTTATTTAACAAAGTCAATATTGATTAACATATTTATATCTAGTGCTTACTATGTATTCAAAACACTGTATTTGGTACATATCCTATCTCATAAATAGGACCCTCATGCTGTTGCAAAGATGCCAGCATCCACAGTCAATAAGGAGAGAATATGCTAATTGACTGCCCCGTCCTCAGAGATGGTGGCACCCAGTCCTCTCAGCCCCATCGGGGTGGCAGGTGCACAGCGCACATGCCTGCCTCTGGAGTCTCCCAGCCCCCTAGCCCCCCAGTAACAGTGAGCTGAGTGGTAAGGAGCAGTGAGCAAGTGGGCGGTAAGGAGCAAGGGGTCCGGACTGCAAGAGGGATGTCCAACTGCCAGCAGGCAGACATCCCCTGAGGGGTCCTGGATTGCAGCAAGAAGGTGCAGGCCAGACTGAGGGACCCCCACCCTCTATCCATGAATTTCGTGCACCAGGCCTCTTGTAAGCATATAAAACTATAAAAATATTGTCTTGTTGTAATAAAAATAGAAAAAAAATCTTTGAATTATATGAATTCAATAAATGCAAAATGAGTATGAGTGAGGTTATCTCTTAAGCATTTTTATAGCACTAAACAAGTTACAGAATGTTTTCACATACATTCTCTCATTTAATTCTCACAATAATTAAATGAAATTGGTTCCCCTTTTCAAATCTTACAGAAAGGTTCACTAGGCTTAAAAGAGTTTAAGTAATTTACTCAAACTCAAAGCAGCTAATTAGTGGTAGAAGCAGCAATTTGGCTTTAACTCGAATGCATTTTTCCCATGTAACATTGTTGCCTCAGGATATTCCTTTTGAAAATTATCTTCTAATACCTCATTTAATATTTTTATCCTGTGAGAGTTTAGTCTTAATGTGAGTTATGAAGAACGGCTTATACACTACAGCAAGTGGAATTTATGCCAAACTTCAGAATGATGGGAAAAAAGAAGCACTGTATTATGTGATTTGAACCCAGTGATATTTAATTAATCAAATACCTGTGTATTCCTAGATTATCCTACTAATAAAGTGTTAGGAATAGTAGACCCAATCTATAATACATGATTTTAATGAACACTTGATATAGAGACTTCTATTTTGGATGAAAATGATACACTCAAATTTTTCAGAAAATATAGAATTAGAAAAAAAATGGACCTTACAATTGGCTGGGTTGTTTTTGTTTGTTTGTTTGTTTCTGACATTCTATAGGACTTAAAACTCATCATGTATTAAAGTAATGAAAAACTATTTCTAAGTTATATAAACTTTCCTTGCAAGTTATTTCTTGATTATTAAAGGCTTAGGCTTCTTTTGATGTAAACAATAATTGATGTACTAGGAATAGTATTGCTTTTCTGATTTAATAAAACTTTTTAATATGTCTGCTTCCCAGCCCTAGCTGGTTTGGCTCAGTGGATAGAGCATAGGCCTGCATACTGAAGGGTCCCAAGTTCAGTCCCAGCCAAGGGCACATGCTCGGGTTGTGGGCTTGATCCCCAGTGGGAGGTGTGCAGGAGGCAGCCAATCAATGATTCTCATTTACAGTTGAGAATCAGTCTGTCTCCCTCTCCCTCTCCCATCTTCTCTGAAATAAATAGAAATATATTTAATAAAATAAAATAAAATGTCCACTTCCCATATGACAAGTACTTGTATCTCCATCCCCAAATAAGAACTTTTCACTTAGAAAGTTTTCAAGTGATTAAATAATGTGTTTTTGTATTTTGTGTTTAGGTTCAGATATGAAAATAGTCAAAGAAGTAGAATTTGGAATGTGCACTGTTACATGTGGTAAGTAGCACAGAGCACATAAACAATATTGTAGGTTAGTGGGCGGAAAGGTAAAAATAGTGTGGCAATTTTTATTTGTAATTGTGTACTCTCATTGATTTCTATTTCTAATGACTATTATTCACACACAAAACATAAACTGATTTCTTTAAAAGGGTTGGATATATCAGTTTATAACCTCCAAGTCTTATTTTAAGCCAGCTCTCTATATTTTTTGGCACATGCACTGTCTTCACCAAAGTAAAATTTCCTCTATCTCACAGATGTTCAGAAGATGAAAAATCTTGAGATGCATCTCACAGATGTCTTTCTACATACTGTGTTGGCAAATCTATCAAGAAATGTGCTTCTTTGTAATAGTCTATTCTAAATTCTACATTTCTCCAATTTATATGTCATATCTTGGAGAAAAAGAGGTACTGGCTTTGTGGGGAAGATAGTGTTCCAGGATCATGATTTATTTTGATCATCCCATAAATAGAATTTGGATATAAAATCTTTTACATGGTGGTGGGATTAAGGCATCACATGATCTACAATTGACTGGTGTTTCCCAAACTTAAAAGTTCACCTTTAACAAATGAAGGATTTGTTAAAACACAGGTTGCAGGATCTACCCCAGAGATTCAAACTCAGTAGGCCTTCAGAGGGGCCTAATAAATTATATTTCTAAACAAGTTCACCAACAAAGCTGATGCTGCTGGTCAAAAGCCCATCTTTTCAGAACCACTATAGAGTAGTTTGTTGAGAAGATACTAGATAATTCACAGTGAAATTAAGTTTATTTTAAATAGATTCTGCCTTGGAATAAAAAGACTGTGATAGAAGGGACAGACAAAAATCAGAGGGTGCATATATTTAAAAAAATCAGAGGGTAAGACGACAGAAAATCCATGCAGATCTCCATCAGAACATTATTATTATTATTGTCAAACATTACACCTGAATTACTTTTATTTGAGGTAGCTTTTGTTTGCGAATGTGTGGTAAAATATACCTAAAATAAAATTTACAATTTTAACCATTTAAAATAAACAATTCAGTGACATAAAGCACATTTACATTATTGTGCAAACATTAGCACCATCCATCTCCCAAATTTTTTCATTATCCTGAACTGAAACCTCCGCATGCATTAAATACCAACTCCCTACTTCCCTTTTCCCCAAGGCTTTGGCAACCATTGTTCCATTTTCTGTCTTTTGAGATAAGTTTTTAGTCTTTTTTTTTTTAAAAATATATATTTTATTGATTTTTTACAGAGAGGAAGGGAAAGGGATAGAAAGTCAGAAACATCTATGAGAGAGAAACATCCATCAGTCTCCTCTTGCACACCCCCTTCTGGGGATGTGCCCACAACCAAGTTTACATGCCCTTGACTGAATCAAACCTGGGATCCTTGAGTCCGCAGGCTGACGTTTCGGCTTAGCCTTTTTTTTTTTTTTAACCCTAATTTCTTCATGAATGAAAGTCAGAAAATGAGAAGAATCCATGTAATAAACCTGTGATTATTCATTTACAATTGATATCTTTCTTCTGTTGCTGAGTTGAAACATTTTCATAAGGGAATTATATTTATGACAATTCTAGTAATTATACATTTTCTTTATTCTATTGTTTAAAGATTAGAGGCCCAGCCCTAGCCGGTTTGACTCAGTGGATTGAGTGTCAGCCTGCGGACTGAAAGGTCCCAGGTTCGATTCTGGTCAAGGGCACATACCTTGGTTTTGGGCACATCCCCAGTAGAGGGTGTGCAGGAAGCAGCTGGTCGATGTTTCTCTCTCATCGATGTTTCTAGCTCTCTATCCCTCTCCCTTCCTCTCTGTAAAAAAATCAATAAAATATATTTTAAAATAAAAAAATAAAGACTAGAGGCCCAGTGCATAAAATTTATGGGGGGGGGGGGGGGGCTGGGGAGTGTCCCTTAGCCCGATCTGCACCCTCTCCAATCTGGAAGCCCCCAGGTAATGTCCAACTGCCAGTTTAGGCCCGATCTCTGTGGGCCTAAACTGGCAGTTGGAGATCCCTCTAGCAATCCAGGACCTCTGGTTCCTAATGGCTCACCTGCTGGCCTGCCTTAACCACTTTGCCTGCTTGTCTGATACCCCTAACTGCCCTCCCCTGCCTGCCTGATCCCCCTAACTGCCCTCCCCTGCCAGCCTGGTCACCCCTAACTGCCCTCCCCTGCTGGCCTGATTGCCTCTATTACCTTTTTTTTTTTTTTTTTTTTTTTTTTTTTTTAAATCTTATCCTCTTCACATATAATTGTATTTGACTTCTTTATTGGCTTCTCCCTGTCACACAATTTTTCTCTCTCCTTTATGTAACACTTTTTCCTACTGACTCATCATTTTTAAACTTTTCTTTCCTCCTTATTTCCTATTTCTGTTCCATCATCCTTTCCCCCATCTTTCTCCTCTCCTTTCCTCCCCACATTCCTTCTTTTCTTTATCTTTATCCTCCCCTCCCTCCCTTTTCCTTCCTTCCCACCTTAATTTTTTTTTCTTCACTTCCTCCCTCGGACCTGCTTTGCTCCCTCCCCCATTTCTTCCTTCTTCCAGTTCTCCTTTTAAGTTCTACCAGCTCCCCTTTAAAACATTTCTTCCCTCCCTCTTTCTCTCTCATCCACATTCTTCTCTACTTACTTCCACTGTTTCAATGTCTATCTACCTGCCTAATTACTCACTCTCATTTATCTTTCTTCCTTTCTGACTCCTACTTTTAAAATCTGTCCCCAGTACACAACTATACTTAATTTTCATTATAGCTCCTACAATGCACTCATACATCCTCTTTCCTTCTTTAACTCTGCTCTCTACTGACTCCTTTATAAAGTTCTTCCCTCCCTCTCCCTCTCCTTTCTTATCTCCTCCTCTTGTATCTATTGTACCCTGGGCTTTGCAGCTGCCTGAGCAGAGGGCAGGGACGCAGCCTGCTGATCAGGTTGTGTCATGATGCTGTAACGGATAATTTGCATATTTCTCGATTATTAGTATAGATGTGTTTCAGAAATTGTATATTCATTCAACAAGTGATTTTCTGCTTGGGGACTTTTAGAAATGTTTTCTGTCTACAATGTGCCAGGCTGGGAATGCAGCAGTGAAGAATACTTCAAGGAGTATATATTTTAGTTGGGACAAAGAGATAAATAAACATAAAATATGGAATATGTCAGATGGTGTTAAGTTCTAAGGAGGAAAACCAGAAAAGACAACATTTCACTTCTAAAATATTTTTTAAATATTTAAAAAATGTTTTTGGTTTATAACAACCACGTAAAGGGAAGAATGCTTTAGTGAAAGTTCTAGTGCCAAAATAATAATGCAGCAGTCAAAATTTTTTCTTTTTCTGGAATACACAGGCAGATTTTTAAGTGTTCCTTGGATTTACAGAAAATCTTAACTGTATACATCTCAATAAACTATTTTGCGATGTACATGAACTGTATAAATAAATGAAACATTTTTTATACATTTCAGAATAAGGGTGTGCTTCTAGATAGGGACCTTCCATAAATTCATGTGGAACCATAGTGTAGCCATTTTTAGTCATCTCTTCATCAAAAGAGACCTTTCCTCTTCCAACCTTCCATTTCCTTATCTCATATGGAGCCCTCTCCCTTGCTACCCAATGTTTGGTCCAGAGACCAGCCACATAGGTGTGGATCTTGTTAGAAAGTCAGACTCTCAGATCCTGCTGACTGAGAATTTCATGTAAGATCTCCAGGTGACCTGCATGCTCGCTGAACTTTGAGAAAAACTCTGGTAAGCCATTTCTGATTTCAACTTCCCCTTGCCTTTGAGGATGGAATTTTTATTAACACCGTATAGGAGGTGAAAGAGGAAACCTGGGAAGCAAGGAAATCAAGGTGGACAGTTCCTTAACCTGTGACTAAACATCCTTTTCATAGGTCACATCAACTTAAGAAACATCCAAACCTGCAGAGAACTTTTATGCGTTTGAGCCAGACTGACAACAGTTGCTAGGATGCAAAATCTCAACAGGTTGAGAAAATGCTCTGGCTGAAATCAGTTTGGCTCAGTGGATAGAGCATTGGCCTGTGGACTGAAAGGTCCCAGTTTCGATTTTGGTCAAGGGCATGTACCTTGGTTGTGGGCACATCCCTAGTAGGGGGTATGCAAGAGGCAGTTGATCGATATTCTCTCTCATCGATGTTTCTAACTTTCTATCCCTCTCCCTTCCTCTCTGTAATAAATAATAAATAAATAAATAAATAAATAAATAAATAAAATATTTAAAAAAAAAGAGAGAGAGAAAAAATGCTCTGAAGAATGCCAGTTTTGCAGTTTATTTTATACATTAGAATGAAAGGAGGAGACTATAGGAGAGAACATGAAATCCATTGATGTCAGATTAAGGGGGCAGGAGAAAGCAAACCAGGGAAATCTTTGTGACTGGATACAAAGGCAAAATAGAGAAACACATACTTCCTTTATACTGGTGGGCACAGGATAGTTAGTAATTAACTATAGAGCTGGTATTCTAGGAATAAGCTATCAAGGAAGGTTCTGTGATTGTGTGCTCTCAAGCCTGGCTTATGAGGGATCTGGAAAAGATTGCTCTGACATGTTATTTTAGATGCAAAAAGATAACAGATAGGCTTACTTGAGGTAAAGATTAACCTTTGTCAATGAAGCTACAGGCCTAGAATGTGATTACCCACCATGACTTGCTTTGAGTTGGAAATGTTTATGATCAGACCATCCTTTGTGGTTACTTGAGTTTCCAAGGCCCACCATGCAAACCCCCCTGAGTGTGTCAGGCTTGGTATGTGGCCCGTTTTCATTCACAGTCAGTTTATCACAGGACAGTTCAGCATGTTGCTGACCCAGCATTTTTTTTGTTTGTTTTTTTGTTTTTGTTTCCAATTCTGGTGATGAAAGGCAAACTTGGAAGATTTGAGATAGTTAAAGGCTTGGTTTCCTGTTATAAAAATGTGTGGCAATTCTAAAGAGAGTATGTTGTTGAAAATGGAGATTTGATAATTAGTAGTTTGTCTTGCTATATTTATTACCAATCTAAATATGAAAAAGCTTTGATAATGTTAAAATATGATTTTGGAATTTCCTCTACAAGCTCCAAGTCTCCCTACAAGTTCCTAAAAGTTCCATGGTCAAATAAATTTGGGAGATCCTATGTATTATGTATTTCATTAAATCTAACAGTTTACTGGTTGTAAGAAGCCCAATTTATGCACCTCTAAAAAAAGGAAAATGCTGCCAATTTATAATATGCCATCAATTTTAAGATGCATTCTAATTTCAAATATGTTAAGATGTAAAAATTTTACTCGTTAAATCAATGGAAGTTTACACACAAAGCATATTAATTTATTAGCATTTTAAAAGCTCCCCCCAAATTCTGTAGTAAAGAGATCCCATTGCCCTGACAAGTTTGGCTCAGTGGATAGAGTGTCAGCCTATGGGCTGAAGGGTCCCACGTTCGATTCTGGTCTAAGGGCATGTACCTTGGTTGCAGGCACATCCCTAGTATGTGCAGGAGGCAGCTGATCAATGTTTCTAACTCTCTCTCTCCTTCCTCTCTGTAAAAAAATCAATAAAGTATATTTAAAAAAAGAAATCCATTACTTTTATTTAATGCATTATTTTCAAATATAATCATAGAATTCTTTTCCTAATGATAACAATCAGAAGGACTAATGTTACATGTAACTCACTTTAGGAAAGGCTGTTTTATGAAATAATTAAAAAATAAAGGGTATAAAAATTCTAAATGCTGTAAACCTAATTTTGGGAATTTAATTTCTGAAATTAAGAGAAAAAGTCTCAATAAAAACTTACGTAGATGGTAAAGAAAAAACCCTGTGGAATTTGTTTTTCCTGACATTTGCCAATTTCTTTTACCAAAGGTGTTGGTATTAGAGAAGTTATGTTGACAAAGGGATGCCCTGGAGGTGAATCTAAGTGCATTGTACGGGTGGAAGAATGTCGCGGACCAATAGACTGTGGCTGTGAGTTGGACAATGGAGGGAGACTGAGGGGGGAAGAATTTACTCTGGGAAATGTCTAACTTCAGCTTGTCATGAGTGGAATTGATGTACTAAAAGAAATCAAAATTTAAAATTCCAATTCCAATTCCATGCTAAGTGAAATAAGCCAGTCAATGAAAGAAAAATACCACATAATCTCACTCATTTGTGGATAATAAAAGAAAATTATAAACTATTGAACAAAAAGATAGATACAGAGACAGTCAAGTATCAAACAGATGGTCAAATTACAGCGGGAAGGTTAGGGAGGGGTGGGGGAGATAAGAGATCAACCGAAAGACTTATGTGCATGCATATGAGCATAAGCAATGGATGCAAAACTCTGGGGGTGAGGGCATATATGGGAGTGGGGTGGGGGTGGGGGGCAGTGGTAAGATATGTACACATATAATACCTTAATCAAAAATGAAGAAAAAAATGAAAACTTAAAATTCCACTTCTTAGGACAGTTATAGCTCTGAACAACTTTCTGCTTTTACTTTACATTTTGCAATGCCTAAAATTTATCATATATTTTCTGCAATGCACTGTAACATTATTGTACTCAGGCTCTGTGGTCAAGGCTGTCCTATAGCAAACTGCTTTTGTCACTTTGTTCGTGACATTTTATCAATAGATTGGTACATCCAAAATTTTTAGTGATATTCTATATCAAATCACTCAAAGCTGAGGTTTCATTATCTCTAAGGGGGTCCTTAACCAGTAAAATGGAAGCCAGGAGTAGACTTCAAACTATATTAGCTCATGGAGTTGGTTGTCCTTACTATACTCTTCTCCACAGTTTATTATATGGAAGGAGCAGGTAGCCATGGAGTCTCCTACCTGCTTCTGTTGGTGACTTTATCTTTGCATCCATCACTCCTCTTTGCTCTTCTACACTCAAGCTCTCAGTAATTATCCTGATAACTTCCAGCATACAATTTATTTAAAAATTGGAGGTGGCTTTTAAAAGTAATATTGTTTATAAAGCAATCTACAATGCTCAATGGTATTTTTGTATTTAATTTTTCTTTTTTTCAGGGGGTAAACCAATATCAGAAAGTCTTGACAGTGTGAGACTGTCATGTGTTCATACAGCTCCTGAAAATCGTTTCAAATATGTCTGGAAAGTTCTAAGGCCAGAGCAAGTGAGTAATGAATGTAATTTGGTGCTTTGTAGTAAGTGATAAAATTTGTTTCCCAGTGCTTGATGACTGCCAGAAAACCCTCTTTAAAAAACTATTTAAAAGAGAAAACTCTCTTTAAAAGCAAAAATGAAGCTAAAACCATACAACTTATTATTATTAGGATTTAAATTTTTCATAATTTGCAAACATATGTTTTAGGATCAGCTATTATCAGAAGTTAAAAACATTGATTTTATTCAAATTATTTTATTTTGGAAGCAAGGTTTCCAAAGTAAATATATAGGAATTGTATTAATGATAAACGGAAGCTAACATTAGCTGAGAGCTAAGGGTCAGACATACACCAAATGTTAGTATTTCTTTTAACCCACGTTACCATCCTATAAGGTAATTCCTAACATTATACCCATTTTACAGATAAGAATCTGAAATGCTGAGAGTAACTTGCTCTGGGTCACACAGGCAGGAAATGGTAGGATTGGAACTTGATGTCTAGATTGTCTGACTATAAAATTCATGTGCATAATTAATTACTTCCCTAGACTGAGAGATAATGGCCCTTTTTTTGTTTTGTTACAGGAAATAAAATTATTTCCTGATCTTAAGTTTATATGAAAAATTTTGATACTTCTTTTCTTTTAAAAAGCAACCCGTTGTTCTTGCAAATGATTCAGCAATCCTGGACATAAGCAGGCCAATTCACCCCGTGGATTACGAGTGCGATACCTTCGAGAATAATGAAATAGTAGCATCTCTTAGATTCACAGTCTATACATCAAATGGTAAGTGCCCAGAAATAGTTTGGTTTGCTTATCTCAAACTTTAGAGGAGCATAAAAATCACTTGGAGGGCTTCTTGACACACAGACAGCTAGCCTTACCCACAGAGTTTCCAATTCAGTTGATGTTGGGTGGGGCAGACAAAAGAATTCACAGTTCTAACAAGTTCCCAAGTGCTGCTGGCAGACACCATAGTCTGAGAACCGCTGATTTAGATAAATTAGACTTTTCTATAAGGTCAAGTGCTTCATTTCTTTTTCACAAAGTACAGTCAGATTTGCCTCACTTTGGAAAACTAGTGTATTCCTGAAATTTCTCCAAAGAATAATCGTCTAACTTGGATTATATTTTTACTTTTACTTCTGCCACAAAAGTGAAAATGTATACATTTCTTACAAATGCTTATAAAAATTTTGTACAATAAAATGAAAGTAGGAGAAGCATTATATCAAGGTATGTCTTTGAAAAAATTACTCATTTGAAGAAAACATTTTTTGATGAAATAGTAATAGTCATCAATATATGTAACAAAAGGCAAATATTGTCCTGAACATTATTTCACAAGTAAAAAACTGCTTTCTTTGTGAAATGGATTCATGTGCATGTCCTTTTAATTTAAACTGTGATATCCAAATAATTATTTCCTTTATAATTAGTTCATGTGCTCTTAACTATTTTTATTGTTATGGGGGAAATAGGGTTTGGTCACAGGAATTTTTAGAATACAATTAAGGCTCAGGAGGCTTTTACCAGAAAAATGCCCATATATACAATCATGCCAAAAGTTACCTGTAATTTTAAAGGAAGTCCGTGGATTTCTTGAAAGTATTTCTTAATCCCAACTAAAGAATTTATGCTGTTATCTAGAGATACCATACAACATAGCATCCTTTATTCAAATGAAAACAAGCTAAACTATTTTGGGAATTAAAAAAAAATAAATTATAACTTTTTTTGATATGTTGTATAATGTCTTTAGAAAACATCTTTCTGGTGAAAGCTAATAATCTTACTCCAGTTGTTATTGAAAGGATAATTTAAAAAAATATATTTTTTATTTCAGAGACAGAAAGGGAGAGAGAGAGAAAAATCAATGATGAAAGAGAATCATCAATTGGTTGCCTCATGCACCACCCCAGCCCCTACTGGGGATCAAGCCCGAAACTCAGGCACATACCCTGACTAAGAATCGAACCAGCGACCTCTTGATTCATGGGTTGATACTCAACTACTGAGCCACACCACCCGGGTTAAAGGGGTAATTTTAATAAAGTCCTAAAAAAGTCTAAAAGAGACCAAACATCATCAAACTAAAAAATATCTCAATGAGTTTTGTTCAGGATATTACTGCTATCAGGGCACATACTTGTTTTTTGTCTCCTTTCTTGAGATGTTAGGACAGCCCAGTGGTTAGCTCTTCCCATGACTAGAAGGTGACGTGCATTTGACAGTACATAAGCTAAGGCCTGGAACACAGACTCCAAAATTTCAGTACTTAACTGAGATAGCAGAGCTACTCACATCATCTCAGTTTAGGGCTGGTGAGGTAGCTCTGCTCTATCAGCACACCCGCTGGTTAATTGATAAAATGTTTTCAGAACACTTTGGATCTATTGATTGCTTTTAAAATGGCAATTGGGTCACCACTGTGACAGACCCTTTGGGTTGATTAGTCATTAAACGAATGTATTGGCTATAAATGTCCACAATATGGTACTAACTTGAAACAAATACGTAATTGAAATATTTTAGGGTAAATACTGTTTAGTTGATGAAAATTTCCCATCCATTCCCTTATATTAATATATCAGATTTTTCACTACTACAGTAGTTGTCCTCCATAATCAGGCTTTGTGTTGGGTTGAATTGTGTCCCGCTAAAAAGATACTTTCAACTTCTAACTCCCAGAACCTCAGAAGGTGACGGTATTTGGAAATAGGGTCACTGCTGATGTAATTAGTACAGTTACGCTATGGTCACATATACCGGAGTGGGACTTTAACCCAATATGACTGGTGTCTTTATAAGAAGAGGGAAGCTTGGACCCAGACAGACAGAGAGAACAAGACAGAGGAAAATGCCAGATGAAAACGCAAAGACACACGGGAAAAGACAGCCATGAGAAAACAGTCAGAGATTGGAAGTGTGCTGCCCCAGCCTAGGAACGCAGGGGGTACCAAAGACCGGAAGAAGAAAGAGGTAACCACCTCTCTCAGAATCTCTGGCAGGGACATGGCCATGCCAATACCTTGTATTCAGAATTTTAGCCTCCAGAACTCTGAGACAATAAATTTCCTTTGTTTTTAAGTTAACCAGTGTGTGGTACTTTGTGATGGTGACCCTGGGAAACTAATACAAACATAAGCTTAGTTTTACTAAATAGGTTAGTTTTATTTAAAAAAAAAAATCAGTATATTTCTTCATTAGGAAATTTCAAGAGGATATGCAGCCCTTTTAGTTATTCGGTATAAAAGCAATCTAAGTGATCTTTGCAGGAAGACCACTATTGAAGTGAGTTAAATTTTTAAACCCTCGTTCTCCACCCTCTTGGCTAGTATTGCAGGGTAGTAGACAAATGGAAGGGAATTTTGCATTTCTTTTCAGGTTTTAATCTTAAAGGGTTCTTTTACTTGAGCTTAAAAAATCCCACAGCTGCAGAAACCGGTTTGGCTCAGTGGATAGAGCGTTGGCCTGCAGATTGAAGGGTCCCAGGTTCGATTCCAGTCAAGGGCTTGTACCTTGGTTGTGGGTGTGTCCCTAGTGGGGGGTGTGCAGGAGGCAGCTGATAGATGATTCTCTCTCATAAATGTTTCTAACTCTCTATCCCTCTCTCTTCCTCTCTGTAAAAAATCAATAAAATATTTTTTTTTAAATCCCACAACTTTTATAAACCTAAAATTATCAAAACAAATTATTTTTAAAATTCAAGAATGTTGGAATATAAATATGTAATTTCTCTATCATATTTGGAAATATTTAGTGAGATCACTAAATTGATTGGATAACTCTAGAATTACTAAGGAAAACTATACTCCATGGTGTTTAAAGAATAGAAAGAAACATTCAGACAAATAAGCTGTTCAGGTTGTCCATCAAGGAGCCTACTTCTGATAGAGTGATACTTACCAAAATTAAATTCTAAAATATGTAAAACACAGCTTGCAAAAATTAAACCCTTTAGACACTGGTTTCCTTATTAGTATGATTCAACAGTTGCATCTGGTCTTTACCACATAAATCTTTTATGATCCCATGATTTAGTGACCAGAAAGAGTCACAAGAAAGCTATATAATTCACAAATACTTTATGTAAATTGGCTTTTCACCAATTTATAATGCCTAGATTGGGTTTGTCCCTATAATAAATAGCCTTATTTGTAAGAAGAACATAAAGATATGGGAGAGAATGCCTGATTTAAAAGTAATGTGTGGGTATTTAGATTTAAGAAAAAATGAGCTTCAACTACTGCCTTAAAATTTATTAAAATCAGAGATGTATCATAGTTTTAAATGTAAAAGTTAAATCCAGAAAGCTTTAAAAAGGGAGACAGAACATCTGCATAATTCATGAGTAGGCAAGGGTTTCTTGGACATGACTCAGAAAACCAACACCATAAAAGGAAATATTGATAAATTATGCTTCACTAAAACTAAAAACTGCAGTTCATTAGCAGGAAGGATTATAAAAATGAATAGGCGAGCCAAACATCTGAGAGAAAAAAATTTATAAAATGTACAATTAATATGATCAGTTTAAGAAAAGGTCTTGCAGTGTCTTAGAAAACTAAGCACACCTCCATTCTATGACCCAGCAGTTCTACTCTCACATATTTATCCAAGAGAAATGAAAATGTGAATTCACAGAATGACTTTTTCAAAAATGCACATAGCGGTTTATTTATAACTAGAGGTCCGGTGCATGAAATTCGTGCACAGGTACGGTTCCTAGGCTTGGCCAGTGATCAGGGCCCATCTGTGGGGTGACTGGCGGGGTGATCAGGGACCTCTTTCACACCTGGCTTGGCCTGATGCCATCTGCTCACCTGTCCACCATCCCGCCACTGTCCCATTCTCGTCAGGGCCCATTGGAGCTGGCAGCTCCGCTGTTGCCCACTGCTAGTTCCATGTCGCAGATGGCCACTATGTTCTGCAGCGTCCCCTGATGGTCAGCGCATGTCTAACTCCTGGTTGGTCGAACAGCTGCCCATGGGGACAATTTGCATCTTAGCCTTTTATTATATGGGATTGCCCCAAACTGGAACAGCTTAGATACCGTATTTTTCGGACCATAAGACGCACCAGACCATAAGACACACCAGTTTTTAGAGAAGGGAAATGAAGAAAAAAAGATTCTGAAACAAATAGTGTCCTAAAATATTTTATGTGCATTAAAATCCAACATCACAGTCATAAACACATGTAATCAACCCTGTAAACAGCAGCATTTAGAACCATTTTAGAGCCAGGCAAGCACACAGAGACCACACAGCGCCGGGCAAGTAAAAAAACTTTTTTTTAAAAGTATATGTGTAGGCTATATTTGGACCATAAGACGCAGGGACTTTCCCCCCCCACTTCTGGGGGGAAAAAAGTGCGTCTTATGGTCCGAAAAATACGGTATCTATCAGTAAACAAATTAAGAGATATTATTCATTGATAAAAAAGAAAAAAAACTCATTAAATAAAAAAGAAAAAAAAACCTGTTGGTACATGTGCAAATATGGGTGGATCTCTAAAACATTTTATTGATTTAAAAAGTCTTACACAAAAGAATACATAGTATATGTTTCCATGCCTAGGAATTCTGGAACAGGCAGGACTGATGGGTGGTGGAAAAGAAAATCAGGACTGTTGCTGCCTCTGAAAGATAGGGCAGGGATTAACTGGGAGGGACTCAAGGGCACTCTCTGGGGTATAGCAATGTTCTGTATTGGTAAGCGTTTAAATTGCATGTGTGTGTTTGTATATGTCAAAAATAAACAAATGTACCTTTAAGGTCTTGGTGCAATTTATTGTTGAAATTTTACCTCGAAAGAAAAAAATATATAAACAAATACTTAACTGTAGTTAATGATGTGCCGGTTGAAGAATTTTGCTGGGAAATGTGCAGACATCAGCAAATTATGTTGAAATGTATTAAAAATATAGGATGGGACAGAAGGCTGGATAGATGGATAGTAAAATGTTGTTGGTAGTATCCAGGTGGTAGGAATACATAATGTTCATGGCCGAAGTCTTTCAACTTTCTGCATGTTTGAAAAGAACATTTCAGAAAAAAAAAAGAAAAAAGAAAAGAACATTTCAAACATGCAGAGCAAGTTAGTAACTTTCTGTCCACTAACTCTTTATGTATATTTCTAAGATTATTTTTCATATATAAAGTCTCCATTTCCTTTTTCTCTCAGTAGGAATAGTCATCAGATATACATTTTTTTCCTTCTAGAATTGCAGATGAAAAGATCAAGACGACCGGACACTGACGCAGTGCTGGTTTTTGTGCTGACCATAGGAGTTGTGATGTGTATATTTGTGATCTTTGTACTGGTCTTCATAATTATAAACTGGTAAGTGAAGGACTGAAAGTGAATCTCCCCCTTGATTGAAGTCCTGTCCCTCTCTTAGCCCATGAATGCAAAGCTCTGCCCATGATGTCTCTCACCTGTCTCTTCAAACTGCCCAACTCCTGTGACTGTCCTAGTAGTCTTTCTAATCTCATGACTTGTTTCCCAGCCACGTGAGAGCTTTTAAATGCAGTTTTTTACAGTTTTACCGAGTAGCTGCTTAAAAAAGTCTATTGAATGAATATCTGTGCTGTCCAGGTGAGGTTATGACAACCCCAAAAATTGGTTATTGTAATCTACCAATGCAGTTATAGGAGAATATTTCCAATACCCACATGAGTATTATACCCTGTGACATCTGAGGGCTCTACTGTCATCGCAAGGCAACTGATATACCACAAACTAAAAATAAATTGTGATTAAGGAGACACTTCTATATAGACAAAATGAAACAAAAATCTATTTTTAGTTTTCATTTCACATAAAAGATTTTTTTGTTTCTGTTTTATCTCCCAGGGCGTCAGTAAAGACTTTCTGGGAGGGAAAAGCCTCAGGAACTGAGGTACGTTCTGAGCAGACTTCACTGAAACGCAAAAGATCAGTTTCTATGGAACGATCACCAGCACATGGACGTGAAGAGGATGCACTGAGCGAGTGGAATGATTAATGTATAACAAGCCAAAGGAGAGTAGAGCATACCAGATTGATTATTATAAGAATAAAATATATAGTGAAATACTTTAATAATATTGCAAGTGATTTACCATGATCTGAAAGCAATACAATGTGAGAAGGGTCTATTTTAATCAGTCCTCTTTTGTGGTAGACTTATAATAAACTCTTTTTAATTTGTTCTCAACATTTACCATTTCAGGTCATCGTCTGGTAACATTTATCTAGAGATACAAACACACACAATCTTCCAAACACATATTTTATCACTTTGATCACTTCCAAGGTGATTTGCCTGTTCTGTCCCCAAAAATAAAACTATAGAAGATGCCTTGCATATTAGACTTTCCTTCTCCGGTAGCATTGCATTGAACTTGCTAAAGCCAACCATACGACTTTAGAATCTCTGCAGGGCATGAGACATATAGAGCATCACTTATAACACATAAAATAATCCTATATAATAAAGGTGTACTATGCAAATGGTATTAACACTGTGAAGCGTAACAACCGACCGTGTAACGACTAGATCACGGATCAGCAGGAGGGTGGGACAGCAAGCTATAAGCAGGGCAGTGGAAAGCTACAGGAGGGGGAAGGTCAGTAAGCTATGAAGGGGGTCAGGAGGGAGGAGGGATGGGGGGAGCTACAGGTGGGCAGGGCAGCAGGCAGAGAGTTACTGGAGGGTGGCAGCAAGCTACTGGCGCACAGAATTGTGCGCAGGACTACTAGTAACAATGATAACAAACCATGTATAGTGACTCTATGTGCCTAGCTTTTCTCAAAGCACTTTACATACATTGGGTAATTTAATTATTATTCTATATAGAAATATGTAAAGAAGAAGTAGGAAGGAACTGAAGGTGGATGAGTTAATGACATGAACGTTTTTTTGGTGGGGAGGATATTTTTTTCCATTGATTTTTAGAGAGTAGTGGAAGGGAGGGAGGGAGGGAGGGAGAGAAAGAGAGAGAAAGAGAGAGAGACCCTTCTGAGAGAGACAGATCTATGGGTTGCCTCCCACACTCGCCCTGACCAGGAATCAAATTTGCAACCCAGGTACGTGCCCTTGACCAGGGATCAAACCTGTAACCCTTAGATCTGCAGGCCAATGCTCTAATCACTGAACAGCCACACCTGCCAGGGCTAAGTGATGTGGATTTAATATGCTTTGTATTCTCACAGAAATGGTGAATTCAGGACTTTTAAATAACTACAAAGCATTTTCATTGTGTTGGTATGCAGGAGATAACATCTTAAAACCAAGGTATTATGTCTGCACATCATCATGTACCTTTTTGTCCTGTGTCATCGTGTGATACAATTACATGGCCAACTATCAGACAAGGTACCACGGCATTAGATAATTTGATTAGGTAGACTTCATCATAAATTAATTTTCTAAGGTAATGAAAATAGTACAAAGATACACTTAATTTTTTTGTTTAGATGAATTCTATGCCAACTTCATTGACATTATGACATTTATCTGATGGTAGCATTAACTCTGTACATCTGTCTAGAAGACATTGCACATGGGCATTCACACCTCCCTCTAGTAGCCTAGAAACAGGCTGTGCTGTGGAATTATCCATGCTTTCTATTATACAGCAACTAGAGGCCCAGTGCATGAAATTTGTGCACAGGTAGGTCCCTAGACCTGGCTGGTGATCAGGGCCGATCGGGCCATCCTTCTGCCGGCTGCTGGCTGCCCGCTGGGGCCTTTCTTCCTTCATTTGGCACCACCCCCTGGTGTTTGGTGCACATCATAGCAAGTGGTTGACCTCTTAAGGGGACAATTTGCATATAAGCCTTTTATTATATAGGATTGTATTGGGGAGAAGCAATGAAAAATTGGCTGTGAAAAGACTTTGTTATTTGTTGTGGGAATTTACTAGAGACTTCAGGTGAGAAGAAATTGTTTTCATGGAATATTTCCAAAGAATTGTTTATTTGACACCACTTCTCCCCCCAGGTAAGTGTGAAAAAAAAAAAAAAATCAGCTTTCTATTTCTTATTTCTGACTAAGTATGGTCATGCAACTTTAACAGAGGTGGTTAACATTCCTGAATAGTAACTATTATAAATTCTTAATTTTTAAAACCATGAAGAGCAATGATTTCAATGACCCTAGGTGTTCAGTCAGGTTAACAGGTTTAGTTGTCAGTGCTGTTCACTGAGCATTTCCAGCTGTCTACTTTCCTGGCACGTGGTAGGACAGTACCTCCTCGGCCCCTCATGGTTGGGTGGGGCAATGTGACTAGTTCTAGCCAATGAGTTATGAGCCAAGTGTGACTTTCAGACTAGAACACTTCACTGTGAAAACCTCAAAACTCACTGTTAGCAGGTACAGACCCAGGGAACAGCACCAAGACTGAACATCAACCTTTGTGAACAGAGAGCAGGAAAAGACCAAAGAAAGAGGCAGGCCACTCCAGTCTGGAGTTTAATATAGGAAACTTACATAGGAGGTCTATCTTGGGGGCTGCAAGACAAAAATGGACCCCTGGGCCACTCACCAAAAAATTATATAATGTATGTAGGAGCTGGGAGAGGAGAAGAGAGGAGGATAGTTATAGATATTAGTGCGTGAATGCTACCAGGAACAAAAATTACTTTACATGCTTGGCCAGGTAAGAACTACAGCCTGTTCCAGGAACCAGCACAGAGCAGGAGGCAGGTGAAGGGTGCTAATTTATGTCAGAATGAACATCAAATTATATCCGAAGGGGGATTTGTGGGAAGCAATCTCCATTCTGGCCGGAGTCCAGGAAATGGGACAAATAGCGGTCACATAATGGAACAGCCTCTCGTCCACGTTTATCTTCCCTGGTAGGGCACCCAGAGATGCTTAGATCCCAGAGTGAGGACCGCATGACACAGGATCTCCAGTCAACCAACAATGAACACGTAGCAAGAGAGAGAAACTTTAAGCCACTGAGGCTTAGAGGTTGTTCAATACAGAAGCTTTCTTTTCTTTTTTCTTTTTTTAAATATATTTTATTGATTTTGTACAGAGAGGAAGGGAGAGAGATAGAGAGAAACATCGATGAGAGAGAGTCATTGATCAGCTGCCTCTTGCACACCCCCTGCTGGGGATATGCCTGCAACCAAGGTACATGCCCTTGACCGGAATCAAACCCGGGTCCCTTCAGTCCCCAAACCTTCACTCTATCCATTGAGCCAAACCGGTTTCAGCTTTTTTCTTTTTTTTTTTTTATTGATTAAGATATTACATGTGTCCATATCTCCCCATTGTTCCTCCACCCCACTCCCAATACAGCAGCTTTCTTAAAACTATCCTGATTGACACATAATGGTTTTCAAAATACAAGTTTTCATAATCAAATCAGTCGAAGACTTCTTTATTGCAGGACTGCCCATCAATGTGACTGTTTAAGAAGGGGTTAGAGGTGAAATATTTCCCAAACTTACTGGTGGTCTATGGGACAAAATGAAAGCATGCATGAATATAAATACTATACCATCCCAGAAATACAATTTTGAGCAAGACTGTCTGATATCTGTCTACAGAGGGTCAGGTACTCAGTGAGCTAGTCTTCGTAATGTATAACACACAGCAAATCAGCAACGTGTCTTGACGACAATCGTAGCACTTTTCCTCTTTGATCTCTGGGTGTTACTTAGATCTTGCCCTGGTCCGAACTCACCTTGATGGCCTTTGTTAAAAATCATCCTACTCCCAAGACCAGAGGCTCCTTTCTCGTAAGGACTACGGCCACACTGTATTATGTTAAAATAATAGACAGACCTTATATTGAAGTAGGTCATAGTATGACCCAGGTTCTCATGAAATAACTCCAGGTCTTATGAAGTCCCTCTGTCCTTTACCACGTCCAATCTGTGTGTTGAGGAGATCTCTCCCTGCCACAGCTCAGGGGGTCTCCATGGCACACCAATTAAGATTAATGGGGCTAGTCACTTCCCTCTCCAAGCAAACATGGCTGGAGGCATTTTCTAGTTCCCATCTAATCCTAAACTCCGGGCTTCTGTTACTTATCCTGGTCACCAAAATATCCATAGGGAAAGCCTTGAGGTTTGCCTCTGTATCTCCAAAGTAAAGGAAGCCACGCAATTACATATCAAGAGGAGGTGTTCTGTTTGAACCCCAAGACATTGGTCTCTGCATATGCAGCAGCAGGAGTTGGTGAAGTGTTCAAATAATACCTTACCAGGAGAATCTTTCATGTCTCCTTTCATTCAACTAACATTCATTAAGCTATTCCCGTACTAGGCACTAGAAATACAGTTAGTGCAAATAATAATAATAATAATAATAATAATAATAATAATAATAATAAAAGAGAGAATTCCTCTTCTCTAAGAGCTGGTCGTTTACCCAAGACACAGACATTACAATTAATCACAACTAGGATGATTATATTGAAGGAAACCCACAAGTTTCTCTGAAGCTGTAGTAGAAGAAATGACAAAGGATACTTGAAGCCTAATAGGAGTTATGCTGGCTAATGGGAGGAGGGTCTAGGCCAAGGAAGAGCAGGAGTGAAATCTCTGAGTAGGGAAGGAGCATGACACATCCTGGGGGAAGACTGGCTGAACTGGAGTGTAGAGAAAGGGAAAAAGAATGGTGGGAAATGAGGCTTGGTATGTATGGAGAAGCAGGTGGCTCTGTGTGTGTGTGTGTGTGTTTGTGTGTGTGTGTGTGTGTGTGTGTGTGTGTGTAAAATAATGTAGCTAAGAGCTAGATACAGGCACTGAAGAGTTCACAACAATGACTGGTGTTGGTGGGCATACCTCTGGACCAGGGGCAAATAAGGTGGTAGATGGACATAGCAGGCTGCAGTTTTCTAAACTCTTAGACATGACATGGAATATCTATTCATCCTATTGAAACATATTCCAATTTCTTTCATTTGCATAATATTTCAACTCAAAATGGTTTCCTTCCCAGATTACTTTTAATACAATTTTTTTTTTGTGTTCTCTGTTTCTGTCTTCTTGATTTCTTAAAAACTGATGTGATTTTTTTTTCTATTTTTGGTTCCACTTTATATTTTAAATC